CTGTGTTGACTAGGAAGCCCCTCATTTCCACTTGGGGAACCTCTTCATTAGCCTTTTAAAGCAGCGTGCCACTTCCTACTTCATAAGGGTCGGTTCACGGCTTCGTTAACGAGTTTGGTTCTGTAGGTCAGCGTGTTTCCAGTTCCCAGCCTCAACACGAGCCGGTTGGGCGTGATTCTCGTTTCTTTGTGTCCCTTCACGTACTGCAGTTTTTGTGCTCTGCTCGGTTCGTCTTGGAAGTCAGAGATCGGATTTGGGAGCGACCCAAATAGAGCGCGTTCCCGTTGCGAGTCGGAACACCAGTAGGATTTGCTAAATGTTGTGGCAATAACTACTGTCAGCAAAATGAGCCGATAAAAAACATATTTCGTTCCTTTTTACGCCTTCGTACTCTTAAAGGAACATGTTCACAATTAAGAATCGTACAGTACAAAGTGTGCCTCTTATTTAATGAGATACACACTGTCAGAATTGCTAATAAATAGTTTATGAAGGCAGCTTTTACTATTTTTTAATGTTCTAGCTACAAACTTGTGATCAGCTCAAGCTATTTACTCTGTTAAGCTGCCCTATAACCACTTTAAAGGGGAGTCCAATGTGCGACCTTCATAAATTTAAGCACAGCCTGACAGTCGTGTCCCAATGAAACATTAACCATGCCGGCAGCAGCGCCAAGTTTCTGGAAAAAAAAAAAAAAAACAATATCTGGAAATGTTGAACTGTGGTAGTATTTATTTGTGCATCTGTATATAAACAATGTGACATTTATTTTAATATTGATTAATAAAACTCGCTCCAAAAGTTCCTGGTAAACAATTCCTACCTTCGAGTGGCCGGGTGGTGGAGCGAGACCGAGCCTGGTGTCTGGAAGCCGTTCTAGATGCTTGTTTAATGTTCATTAGTAAATTCAGCTGAATGTGTGAAATCACTAAAGAGATTAGACAGTTATTAAATGAAATTTAGATAGAAAGCAGAATAATATTAGGTCAAAGTCCAAAAAGTTTTGTCAGTACATCAACCCATTACTTTATTCAAGCCAGACCTGCCTATGAAAAAAGTGTGACTTATTGTCCGGAAACTGACTTATTGTCCAATGCTATTTCAAGGCATTAATCGTGAATCGGTTAGATTGCTCATTTCTTTACAATGACAAGAAGAGTTTAAAAGCTCTAGTTTTGTGTATAAAAATTTTCTCTCTCTTTTTTTTGTTTTTTTTGTTTTTCACTTTATCGGCTAAAAAAAAAAATCAAATTTCAACATCTGTTTTTTTGAGATATGCGACAAAAGCTGCCCATGCAGAGCTTGACCAGCCGCGACCTGAAGCAACAGTTTTGAACGCGTGAATCTTGTGCTGCTGCCGCCGTGGGAACTTGTTCTGGCCAATTGTTTCTGAAGCCTCAAAGCAGACCCCTTCACAAACAGTGGATTTCTGCTGAAGAAAGGCCCCCTTTGTGTGCGGCTAATGTGAGGGAAATACAGTTGCTTAGCAGACATACTTGTTGAAATCATATGACATCTCCCTCTGTGTCTGTGCTCGGTCATTTTCTCGTCCGGTGTCTGGGGCTAGGGTAGAAAAGGTGAGAAAGACCATTTGTCCCACAAGGTCCTTCCTGCTTTAGGATCACACACTGGTCTGGTCTGAACGGCTTCGTCCTTCGCTGATGACGTTTTACGTTGTGGCGGAGTTGTTAGCAGAACCAGAGGACTTTAGCTGGGTCTGCTCACTTTGCCATGTTATATTCACTAATCATCACTCAGCTAACATTATCTAACTTCAGCAGCATTCCTCAACTCACTCAGCTTGTTTGGAGAACTGTTTGCAGCGTGTCTGCATGGCCACTGACCCACAGGTGTAAAACCAGCACAAATATCTTTGTGTTTAAAAGTGGCTCGGAAAAACGTGCATTTTAACAACGGGTTACACAGCTGTACCTGCTGAGGAAAGTGCGGAGGACGGAAACACAGATACGGCAAGTTTGGGAGCCCCAACTCAAACCGAGATAGGACTAATAGAATGTTGACCGCTCCAAGGTAAAAAACAAAAACCAAAACCCAAATAAATTCAGTAGCTTCTCTTAGAGTGAATCTCTTCTCTTCTCGTCCTTAAAGTGGACATGGTCAACTAAGGTTCTGGCCAATGCCACCAGTGACTCCCAGTGCCGGCCGCACCGCCGGGTCTGGCTGTCAATCCAGCTGTATCATTTGTTCACAGCTTAAAATCTATCCACTCTTTTCTGAGTGAGTTGACAATCAGTTTCTTTCTTATACACCTAAAAAAGACAAAACCTCATTTGTTTTGTGTCCTCCAGAGCAGCTTGAAGAAGCCAGCTACAGGGATCTTCCGCTCTGTTCTGACAAGAAAGAGAAAACGGTTTCTGTCAGACTTCACCTTTTTCTCTTTGTACTTGCACTAAAGTAAGCTAAACATGAACAGATAATGGAGCAGGGTCAACAATGAGACATTTTAGTGAAATAAGCACTTTGTTCCAAAGGCTAGTCAGGTAGTTTGGACAGACGGAGCGCAGTTTAAGACCCTCTTCGTCAATTTGTAATTTAGGAAATGGCTTCATTGTATTCCCTTGGGGGTTGATTGTGCAGCAAGAGCTTTAGTTTGGGCTGTTTACGCTGCACATTAGCAACTCAACAATCAATTGCTGAACGTCTTGGAAGAAAAAAAAAAGCAAGAAAGCTTTTATCGTGAGCCTTGTTCTTTCAAGACGTCTGTCCTTTTGTTGTTGACAGAACCGCTGCTGCAAGCACAATAGCGTAGGGTGCAGAAAGTACGTAGAAGGCGTGCGTTTGTGTAGACAAAGGGGTTTGTGTTGGGGGGATTCCCAAATGTGTGTTCTACCCCCAAAAGATTCAGGTGTCTGCTCCGAGCCCCTCCGCTCCCTTTTTTGGCTGTAAGGGTATCAGGCACCGGTGTAAGTAACTCTGCGGTCGGCTTGATTGACGCGCGAGGCCTCACTGCCAACCATTGGAAAGGGGGATCTCGTATCGCCGAGGCGCTGGCCCGCGTGCTTCTGGTAGCTTCCAAGAAAAATAAGCAGCGTGACATCAGGGCTTTGTTTCAGCAGTGAGGCCCTCTCTGTTTGTGTTTAATATCGCTCAGAGAAAAGTGGAAAGGCAGCCAGCCAGCTTCTCCTGTCCCGACCACTGAACTCGGTACTTTGGGGGGAAAGTGACGGTGGTCCTATGTGTCTGCCGCGCGAGACCCTCCATCCCTCGCTCCTCCTCATTGTTCGAAGGATTTTTTGGGGGGTTTTTTTGCTCTCAGATCTCGGTTCCTGTGAGGCCACGCAGTTTTGACTGCAGGGAAATCAGATCTCACAACACCGGGGACCAGTCGAGGTTATAGAGGGCCAGACAGTAAAAAAAACTAAAAAAAACTAAATGACGATGGAGATCTGGGGAAGACGATATGAAAAATGATTTCTGGATGAAAACCGAGAGTCAGAAGACAAGTGGAGAGAGGCAGAGGGGGGCATCAAAAGGGAACTTGGTGGATTTAAGACCGATATTTAGAGGGAAAGGAGGGGAGAGTATAGATGAGGTGAGAGTAACGCAGAGGGAAGAGGAGAGCAGAAAAAGAAAGAAGTGAGGGGAATCTAGTGAAGGCCAGCCACGTCTGGGTGGTTTTCCTGAGGAGAGGCTCTTTGATACTCCGGCACTCACACTCCAATGCGTTCAGACAGGAGTTGACAGTGGTTTCGGGCAGCGGTTTGTCTGGCCAGCAAGCTTTGATTTAGAAGACCCTGGACGGTGGGCCGAGTATTTGGCTCTTTGATTTTTGCTAAGTACTTTGGATGGAAAGTCAGCTCTATTTTTCTTTCTTCTTCTTCTCCTTCTTCTTTTCTTCTCCTTTTTCTTTTAGATTGTCCAAACCAAAGGCTAACGTGTTCCAAGGGTTTTACTTTTTTATTGTTCACTTTTCTGTTTTTTGTGGGAAAATTTGCAAAAGATGTAACTGGGGTTTGGCAAAAACTAACTGTGACTGCTCTTATCTAAATACATAGAGTGAAGAAATGAATCTATATATTCTGCTGACAGGGGAAAGATGGAACCGTTTCACTTTACAAGCATGCTAGCCTGCACAAACCAGCCCCTTGTTATACACTTCACTTTGTACAGAGGGTTTGGACCCTCGGCTACTGAGAAACTGTTCTAAATAGAGCTAACAGTTAGCTAGACTTAATGAGTTAATGAGCTAATGAGCCCGCTAATGGTTGTTAGCTCTAGCTAATGGATGCCTTCAACAGAGGCATGGAGTCTTACGTTTTTACCATTAGCCAATTGCTAATGTTTGATTGTGACGTATGTAACGTATGTAATAAGCCAGTTGGACGATATGAAGCTTACTGGAAATTACCTACACTGTAAACAACCATCCTCCACTCCAAACTGCTGAGCTGAACCAGATGGCTGTTGATGTTAATTCAATATTTTGGAAGCCTGGCCGACGTTAAAACTACAGGCAGACTATAATTCTAAAACAGCTCAGAAAATCATCGTTCACAAATTCTCCTTTTATTTGTTGATTGGACCCATTGAAATTTCACCGGAAAAATCCAAGTCAATGGGAGAAATCCCAGACAGAGCACTGGAGGGCAATGAGAATCAAGCGGAATTGTGTATGAAAGCAACAGCCAGGCTACAAGTATACAAAACTTTGTGTTGCATAAATCATATAAAAACCTCAATAAGATGGAATGAAGCTGGTGGTTACAAGAAATGAAAAAGTTTGGAATGCGTAAATGCTTTTGCATGGCATTGTGTCGGTAAGCATGCATAAGTGGATCTACTGTGGTGCAAAAAAAAAAAAAACTCCAGAGAGGACCAAAGATATGCTACAAAAAATAGGACCAAGGGTGTGTGTGTGTATGCGTGTCTGTGTATATGGAAGTAGAAGAAAGGATGGAAGAGGAAAGCCACTGACGAGCTGCTGGCGAACAATATTAATAAGCTGTTGGTTTTTCTGGTTTTTCCTCTTTTTGCAGCAGCTGTATGCCGCACAGCTGGCAAGCATGCAGATCTCGCCGGGAGCCAAGATGGCGCCCCTCCCGCAGGCTCCCAACTCCTCCAGTCCGCTTTCACCCTCCAACCTCAAGAGCGAGAAGCGAGCGTCCAGCCCCGTCACTCAGATTAAGGTGCGTGAAAATCCAATTGCGTTAACGATCAGGGGAGGCGTGCGAGCCGGCGTCATGTACGATCATTAGAAGACGGGCCTACCGAGCCAGCCGTTCATACTTGTTCCCCTGTAATTAATAAACGCAGAGTTAAAATCGGCGTCTTAATGTGCGCAACAGGCAACATAATAACACAAAAGGAAAGAGTGAGTTCAGAATGTGCGCTATGGGAAAACACTTAAGACTTGACGATTAGCGCAAAGTAAAAAAAAAAAAAAAAGTGAGAGGCTGGAAATTTGGAAGATGTTGAAACGATGATCTGTGCACGGCACAGTGCTCTTCACCCTCAATTAGTGGGAGCTTATTTAAAAGTTGCGCTCTGACACATACACACACACGCACACACACACACACATACAGGACACTGGCGCTGGCTGCTGTTTGGCAGAAGCCCAGACCTCTTCACTGGAGAGAGCGTGCGCCTCATCTTTACTCAACAACCAGGCGGTAATGGAAACCATGTGTGTTTGTGGGGCACAGCTGCAGCCGGCGTCACAATAGGCCGGCGTCAGAGCTGGCCGCACTCAAACAGTGGAGCAGAGCCCCACCCTCTGCTAACCTTTACTGTGCATGTACCACCCCCATCCACATTAAACCCCCATCCACATTAAACCCCCTCGCTGTTTTTCCACGACAAGGCTCATCCTAAACTCCTCTCCTCGAGCTGCAAAGACCCAGACACCAATGGTGGGCTTATGTGTTTTTGTTTTTTGCTAATGTGTAGTTACAAGAATTGATTTGTTCTGTATTGAGATAGTTCTGTACAGATAAATTCTTTTTTTGTTTGTTGTTGGGTTTTTTTGCTTGTTTTGTATTTAAATGTCTCAGATCATCCAACAGATCTTTCTATCATGGATAACTTGAGTAAATACTAAAGTTAGTTTCAAGATTTAGTTTATTCAGAGGAAAAGAGCTACCTTAGAATGGAGTATTACAGTCATGCTAAGAAAAAATCTAAATTCACAACACAAAAATTATGAAAATAAAGTAATAAAATTACGAGAATAAAGTTGTAAAAATATGAAAATAAAGTCATATTATAACATTAAAAAAGTCAGTATTACAAGAACAAAGTTGTACAAGAGTAAAGTCAGAATAATATGAAGTTGTAATAATATGTCAGTGATTTTGTAATATTACCAAAATAAAGTCATAATATTTTGACTTTATTGTATTATTTTTACTTGAATTTTGTAGTATTTTGACTTTATTTTAGTTATTTTGGCCAATTTTAAATGTCAGATATCGGTATCGGAAGTGAAAAAAGTGGATCGGTGCGATCCCTAGTCAGAAAGTGCAAACGAGGCAGAAAATAGAACAATATCTGGCTTTTATGCCTTTAGTTTTCTGTGGAGCATTTCTAAAATCTCATCTTGTCGTGTGAGTCGTATATCAAGCCCCAGCGGGTCTCTTGAGCAGAACACATGTTTACACCCCGAACATCTCCTCTCTTTTCTGGACAGGAAGAAGGATCCACACAGCCACTGAACCTCTCCGCCAGACCGAAGACGGCTGAGCCGTATCGCTCTCCGACGTCACCCACGCAGAGCCTGCTGCCCGGAAACAAGACCAGCCCAGGTGGCCTGGGCAAGGGTCGCATCCCGAGCCCCATCCCCATCCCCAACATGGGCCGAAACGCCTCCCTGGGTAGGTGGCAGAAACATCCTGCCGGACCGAACCCCGTTGAACCTGCTGCTCTCGGCCCAAAGTCACGTCGTGTGTAAACACGCTTCCTCACGTCTATGCCGTACATCCACCCTGCCTCTAACAAACAAGTCCTTGCTTCTGTGTAAAAAAAAAAAAAAATCCCTTTAAATGGAAAAACAAAAACATCACGCAGCCAGACGCTTCGCTCCTCCTGCCACCCACAGACACACTGTGCTGCGCCGCGTGCGCCCGAACGACTGCAGACACCTCAACCCCACCAGGAGACCTCTGTGTGTGTGTGTAAAATCTGAGTGAGTGTTTGTGTTTTACAGGAGTCCAAAGCCCTGTATTTAGCCCCAATGAAAACCTGGCAGCGGAAGCAGTGAAACCCAGCACACGTTATTTGGTTTTTAAGAGCTTCCTCGCATTATTGTCTGCCCGCGCTAGACCTTTTATGCCCCTACCTCTGCTATCTGTTATTAAGGCCAATCTAAAGCCTCTCATTATACCACTCCCCCCGCTCCCCACCTCTCACCCCCCACCCTCCACCTCAGAAAACAATTTCACCGGCTTCTCTATTGTGGCTTTGAGGACGAGACGCTTGTGTTCTCTGCAAAAGTTATTTTTCACCCGTTTTTAGCGGCCACCCAAGCGTACAGTGCCTCCTTTACTCGTCTGCTAATTAAACAAGGAGGGCAGCGGAAACTTTACATCCTTTTTTTTTTTTTTTTTACTTCTTTTAATTCCTCAAGTGCGCGTGTGGGGCTTCAAAAGTGAGGAGTGTGGCGCACAAACAAGCAAAGCGGGAGGGAGGGAGGTTTTCCTCAATTCCGAAAACCGGAAAACAACACATGCGGACCGTGATGTGAGCCCAAAATCTGATCTTGTGTATTTAAAATGTTAAAATATCCTCTACTTTACCTAAACTAATTTATATAAAAAAAGAGGTTTGCCACAGAAACAATTCTGAAATCAACACTGTAAAAGAAAAAAAAAAAATGTCTTTTTGGTCTAGTTTCAAGAGCAAACATCTTTGTACATTTCAAAGAAGTCAAAAATAACTTACAGGCAACTTTTCAGAAAGATATACAATTTCTTAATATTATTGAATAAGTAATAATCTGCTAACTCCACAAGCAGATTATTTCTCTTTCCCCATCTTATAAGTGGAAAATATCTACCAGTGGAACTAGAACGTTTTCATCAATTTTAAGGAATTACTCACTTCAAACAATCTCTTACGGTGCTGAAAAGTTCTTAATAAGCTAGTTTTGTCTTATTTCAGCTGTAGAGAGATATTTGCACTAGAAACTAGACCAAAAATACTTGGTGAAATTGTGTTTCTGCAGTGAAGGTCAAACCAGGCTCTGACAAAACAGGAAGGACATTTTCTACCAGTTATCTAACATCCCAATTCCACTTTTCTACTTTTCTTTTGTAGACTAAATGCAGTGATTTAGACTCTTAAGATGCAATTTTATCTAACATTCTTGTATGTAAATCAAGTGTGTCACTGTTCATGCTTTCAGCCGTTCTCCTTCTTCTGCTGTGTCTGTGTGCAGACATCTTGTCCAGCCTTAACTCCACAGCGTTGTTTGGGGACCAAGACGCGGTTATGAAAGCCATCCAGGAGGCGCGGAGCATGAGGGAGCAGATCCAGAGGGAGCAGCTCCACCATCAGCAGCAGCAGCCGGGCCACCAGAGTCTGGAGGCCAAGCTGTCCGCACTCAGCAGCATGAACCTCAACAACAGCAACAAGGTTAGAGAGATGTGTGTGTACAAGTTAGGACGTGCCCACTCTTTTCACCAATGACTTTTACAGGAGTCAGTAAGGTGTAATCTCTTCAATAATACCAAACCTTAAAGGAGCAGGATTGTGTAAAATCTAAATTTTTTTGTTTTACATCAGGTTATTTTATTCCCTCATCAAAAACACACCTGGAGTGTTGCTTTGACTCTTTCATGCATGATTGAGAAATACTTTAATCTCCTGTGGCAACCATTCAGCTGTACAAAACGTCTGGGTGAACCTAGCCCTGCCTTCAAGGCGCAGCTCCTCCTCTGAGCTCCAATTTCCAAACTTCTGAGCTTCTGAAATACAGAGCAGCTCTCCCACTCAGCTCCTTCAGACTAGCTGATAGCAATTAGCAATCACCTGGTGGAACTGTGCATCTGCTGAGCTCATTAAAGTTCAATGCTGGTAAAAATGTTAAAGGGTTAA